TATAGTTGCACTAATTATCAAATTTAGTTATGTCATGTCATCACCTATAACTAACTCTCTGAAACTGTATTATACATGATACATGAAGTGCATAAACTATCATACATGATCATGCAATCCCATGCATGATAAAAATTAATTCCATGTACCATAAGAAAGATGTAATTATGACTCATCTTCTCCTATAACTTCAGTTAAGGAAGTCTTTGATGGCATGCAAGGCAGTTATCGTACAAAATTTAATATTCAACACTATTAAATCCAGGGCTAGTCCTGACATTTAGAGGCCCAGGACAAATAATAAAAATGAACCATTAATAAATAATATATTTTTTATTAAAAAAAGACATCATCTATTTAAATTGTAAAAAAAAATGCTCTTTAAGTCTTTCACCAACATGTTTTCAAATACAAAAACCCTCATTTTCTAATTGACCTATATCATTCCCTCTTTTAAAAATTTTACAACAAAAACAAAACCCTCTATCAAACTTTTTTTTAATAAACAAGCAATTTCTATCACATTTCTCTTCATTTAGTAAAACTCTAGTATACAAATTAGTCGTAAAGCATAGATGATTTGTCTTTAGGACCCTTCACAATAGACAAATCTCTTTTAATTCCTTTTGTTGCCAATAAATCAATTATTCTAGACTCAAGAGAATCTCATATTATTACATAAAATATATTTATATATTCATCGTTGTCATCGGCATTATCAAGATTTTCAGCATTAAAATTTAGGTGAAATATGTTTTTGATCCTTATAAATATCTCAAATTTCATTTTTATTCCTTATTTAAAAAATGACATGTTTTAATCCTTACAAAATTATTATGCACGTAGTTTTAGTCTCTGTTGTTAAACCAATGAGTATTTTTGAATGATTATTTAGTATACATATTTAGAATGTTATAAAAAGTTCTTTGAAAAAAAAGAAATTCAAAATTTGATTTCTAAGTCGGAATTTTCATTATTTTTATCAATATCTTTTGAAATTTAAAAAAAAATTATATTTAATTATTTTCATTTTAAAATACGCTAAAATTTGATAAAGAAATATTTTATAGTATTCTAAACACATAGTTTAAAGATAATTAAACAATTTTTAAAATTTTAGAAAATAACAAAACTAAAACTGAATGAATAAAAATATTTTAGAGATAAAAAATTATCATTTCTTTAATAGAAATTAAAAATGAAATTTGAGATATGGAAGAGACAACACAGGCACACCCAGAAATTCTATGACCTTCTTTACTTTGTTGCCTCCATTTAAGACATGCCAAAAAAAAATTCAACTGTGAGAGAAAAGGGAAGACAAAGGTGAAACATAGGAGCCAACTATCATATGCTTGTGGTCATGTAAGCATGTGAGAGGATTGTAGTTGTTTCATATTTTTCATTGAAATTTCAATTGATTTTGTTCCCAACCATATTCTGTACAAAATTTAATGTTGTTGTTTTGATATTTCAGTGATCTTGTTTGTTCTAAACAGTGTTCTGTACAGTTGATGCACGACAACAACGACGATGGTCGATGGTAGTGGTAACAAAGATAATTTGTGGATTCAAGACGAATACGATTGACAATTGGCGGCCGCGAGGAGACAACAATTCAGGATGAGTGTAGAAATTATTTGTAATGTTTTTTTCCAGACATTTGCAATGGGTTTTGTTGCCGCTTTTCTAGATGTTTTAATTTTCTATGTTGAAAAAATTTGCAACGTGGCCACATCGAAGCGATTTGGTATATCAAGTGGTGGAAAACTAATGAAAGTCATTCTAACTTTCTTGTGTGGAAGTTAGAGAATCGGATCCAAATATTACCTACATAAATATTTCTTTTTATTTTTATTTTTTTAAAGATGTGAATTTTTTTATTAGGTTAATATTATCTATACATAAATTAGTTAAGGATTACTTTTTAAAAAAGAAAAAAAAACAAATAATACTATATGTGGATATACACTCACGTTCTATTTTGGAATTGAACACTATAGTTAATAACAACATCAATCACCCGCTCGGCTACAACGGTAACACATTTATTGTTTTCATTACGCATGGTATACTGTCTTTTAAAATTGGAAATATATTTTCGATATGTATCTTGCTAAATATAAATTATATAAAAAAAAACTGGGTGTTAATTAGGAATATATTTCTGATTGCAATTGAATGTATATTTTTGGTCCGTGTTGAGACTTAAAAGGCTTGTTGCCTTTTCCTATCTCTTTATAGCATAAACTAATTTCAAAAAAGAAAAACAAAACACACAAATCCATTTCTCTTAAACCCCGTTGTTACAAAATCAAACCGTTTCACAAAAAGCTCGTCACGAATCGTGAAGTATCAATTAACTCAAGTGTTCAATAACATTAAATCAAGAAAATGCATCAATTGTAAGTTATTTTTTAGTTTTTTTAGAGTTTATGTAATTTCTACTCAAATTTGTGATTTAGGTTAGAAATTCTGATTTTTTTTTTGTGTGTTTTCAATATTATGAATCATTATAAATATGTTGGAAGTATCATTTTTATGATGAATGACATTTTTTTAGAGGTCATTTGGAGCTCTGCTTTGCCATTGACGAAGCTCTGAATTTACAGGTTGTACCGGAAATATATTTTTGATTTTCATTTTAATGTTGAAGAAAATTGGAAAAGCATTTCCGATTTTAGTTTGTTCCTATTTTTTCCTTAATGTTGAACATTAGTCCTTATGTTAGCGTTTGTTTTGTATTTTTACAGAAGTAATGATTGAGAGACCATCTAGGTTGAAGCACGGCAGACTTGCACAACATAGTCTTCACCAGTGGTGCCCATGTCAGATATAGTTATTTGAAAACGGTGTTCACAAATGAGATAAGACGTGCACGAAAGGGTGGTGGTGATCCTGAGCAGGTTACCCTACACTGAAGGTTAGCTACGAGAGCATACCTTTTATTTCTGGTTGACACATAAATTTTTGTGGACACTAGTGCCACTTACAGATGTGATGTATCTGGATATTTAGATGATTTTGATCAAATCTATCAGTGGAACTGGGGGGACTGCTTATTTGGTGTACTTGTATATGAAGTTGTCTGAAGGATATAAGTGGAAGACGAAGCAGATGACCAACAACATCACACTCATAACGGTAAATTTTTTTGGTCTTTGTGGCGTTCCGTCAATTATTGTGATTCTGTTACTAATTAATACTCCCTCCATTCTCTTTTATAAGAAAATTTTAACTTTTTAGATTAATTTAATAATTGATGTATCTAACTTATATATAGTCTAAATACATTATTTATTCAATGAATCTAAAAAGTCAAAATTTTCTTATAAAAGAGAATGGAGGGAGTAATTGTTGTTATTTTAGAGCTGGATCCTAACGCACTTTCTCTGCATCTCAGGTTGGTTACTAACTACTGATTATACTGAAGTTAAACCACGTGCCACTGCATACGACCTGTTCCAAAGGAACCAGGCAACAGAGTCGTTCCAGATGTATATTGATCGACTGATGTTTGAGGATATACACTTCCATCCATACAACGGTCACCGTGTCACGATACTATTTGATGATGTTGCGCTATTTATGGGATAGTTGACTTACGGATCACGTAAGACGGTTGTTTGTATGCCTGAGCGTGTCATGCGTCTGTTCGAGTACACTTAATACTCTCTGGGATCCTGCTGTATCTGTTCCTTCCCTGGTGAAACGCAGAGATATTGATGTCTTGTTTGATGATTATGAGAATCATCTTGTTTTAGATGAGGCATGGAGTACGTTGCTCCAGACGACTGAAGCTAGGTGGACGATTATATCAAATGGTTCTTCATAGTATCTCATTCATACCTGATACAGGATGCTCCAGGAAACCCACTGAGGTCAGCTTATCAGAAGATTCTAGAGGAGGAGCAGGCATAGACCGATCATACCACTGATGTGTTGCCTAGGTGTTGTCGTATCATAGACATTGCGCAGACGGGTATTGATGGTGGTTTATTTTCTGATGTCTCTAATGATAGAGGTGTTTTGGATGCCATCATGACGAAGACTCAGGAGGCTCTGCAGTACAGGAGACAGCGAAGGAACGCCGATAGAATGATAGGCTCAGAGTCTACCATACCCAGTAATTTTTTATGTTGTATATGTATTTTGGTTATCGTTTTTTTATTGTTTTTGGATAATATTTTAGGTTACGCTCTATAATGACTACGAACACCTTTTGTACTATTTACTGATATCTATTTATATATGCCTTTGTAGTATGTTTTGTTGTATACTTCTTTGTATTCAATGCGAAACAACGCACAAAAAGACTCACTGTCAGCATAAGTCTTTCTAGTACTGTCTGCACAGAAACCGGAAATACATTTCTGATTTGCTTTGCAAATATATTTCTGATTTTTAGTCAAGATTTTACAGAAAAAGGTGCAGACCAAAAATATATTTTCGATTTCAAGGGACATTTTTAAAATTGCATAAGATTTTTCTTTTTACTATGGGGTGGGAATAGAAATTCTCCTATATATACAAATATGATGTTTAATTTATAAAACCCAAGCCTTAATAATTTGAGGCCTCATATCTTTTGAAGCCTTGGGTTGTGGGTCTGGTTGCGCTGACTCAGAACCAACCCTAATTAAATCGTTATCAAAAAGAGTCTTATAAAAATATTTATCATGATTAAATCCTAACTAAATAAGATTTATATTTTTTGTACATGTACGTGAAAACACTCTAACAGACTCATATTAGATTAAATTGAAATAATATTTTGTGAAACTTGAAGAATTAAGGGAAGAAGCAGCTTAACCAAGAGATTCTTTAATTTCATTTGAGGACCAAAAACTAGTAAACCTCTATATGAGTTCACATCCATTGATTTCTTATCCCAAGGAATACACATGATACATACAAAATTAAATCTTTGTTTGGATTTGATTCAAGTTAATTCATTCATATTCTTTTTTCACCCAAATAGCTGCTCCAAGTCTTCAACAATGCAAACCAAACTGCAATCCATCCATGCACAACCTCATCTCAAGACTCCTAACAAAATATTTAGCACATTAAACCAAAACAACCAAACCAATCAACAATCATCAGCAGGCAAAATTAAACGTCTTGTTCTAACACAAGAAGGTAGAACCAAACTGAACCTTTTCCAAGATAAGGAGTTTTATGCGTATCCGCGCCTTGTGACTCATGTCGACGACGGATTCATTTCTACACTAACAAAACTTCACAGAGAAAGGTTGAGACCCGACTCTGAAATTCTCGATCTCATGAGCTCTTGGGTTAGCCATCTACCGAATGATGTCAAATACAAAAGAGTAGTTGGGCATGGGATGAATGCACAAGAGCTTGCAAAGAATCCAAGGTTGGATTACTTTGTTATAAAGGATCTTAATAAAGATCAATTGTTTGAATTTGAGAGTTGTTCTTTTGATGCAGTTCTGTGTACTGTTAGTGTGCAGTATCTCCAACAACCAGAAAAGGTAATACATACAAAAAAACACATCCAAGTAATTGATTAATCTTACTGAACATCACTAATAAAGAGAAAATTGACAGGTATTTGCAGAGATATTTAGGTTGCTAAAACCAGGAGGGGTGTTCATAGTGAGTTTTAGCAACAGAATGTTTTATGAGAAAGCCATAAGTGCGTGGAGGGAAGGAACAGCTTACAGTAGGGTTCAGTATGTGGTTCAGTACTTCCAATCAGTGGAAGGTTTCACAGAACCAGAGGTAATTAGAAAGCTTCCAGCATCTAATGATGAAGAAAACTCGCCTGCTGGCTGGATCATGAAGCTCTTTGGATTGTTTTCAGGGTCAGATCCATTTTATGCAGTTATTGCTTATAGAAATTTTAAGCCAACCTATGATAATTGAATTGGAGGCTTCATTGTTGTGAAAGAAGAATTCAGTTAATAACAATACTTCCATAGGTAAAATGTGATGTTATTATTTACTCATGATGTTGAAATTATGCTCATAAAGAATGTTTCCAGTTAAGCAAAATAGTTATAACAAATAGACATTTGGCATATAGAAAATGTACACTTACTACTATGAACTTTCTAAAAAAATATCTGAAGGTCTGTCAAGATACAAAGATGATTTAAAATGTAGATCCTGTAACAATCTAAGGAGATATATACATGGTGAATAATTTCTCAAAATTTACACTTCTGTGGTGGCGTAATCTTTGCCGACCGTGTAGATACTGGTATTAGCAAAATCACAGCTATCAGGACATGTCTGGGTCATCAATTTCAGATCTGCATCTCTTTCAGCTAGGAAGATAAGAAAACAAAAATTTTCAATCCACCCTTGTATGCTCAAATCTATCAAAATACTCTACCGGAAGCATGTTTCCAATAAAATGCCGTATTTTTGGGAGGAACAGCAGAGCAATCATCATAAGAAAAATCTATTGATGAGTTCTGATCTGATGAGTTAGAAGAAACTAGGACTATTGCTGTGGAGGATTTTTCTAGGGCAATTAATGACTTCCAGTGAAACTATACCTCTTCCCTACAAGAAAGACTTTTGGCTTTCTCAACAGCTTCAACATAGTAATAAAGTCTCCACAATGTAGCATTATCCTGCACAAAGTCAGTATTTATAATGTTAATCAAGTTTTATAATGCTGACAACAAATATTTTGTTGATATAATACCTCTTTTTGCAAATCAACAAATATTTTGTCACAACTTTGTTCTTCTACTGGCCTACTTCGACAAATTATCTCCACCACGCGGTCAAGGTTTTCTGCAGGTAGCCTCTGAATTAATCTCTGTAGCTGCTGTATTTCAACAAGGGCCATTGGCCTTTATATAGGTATCAGAAACTCAGAATGTTAAATAAACTAATCCCAAATAATCCGACATTACATAATATACTTGGAAGAGAAAAGATTAACATGAATCTTAGAAACTCGTTATAGGCCTCGGAGGTATGTGTCTCCAGCACAACAATCCCCGGATTGAAATGTCTCGAGTTAGGAGGTTTCGACCTTACGGACTGATCACATCCTCTATAGCTTATATCCACATAACAGTATTACAACATACCTGCACTTTGACATAACTGCGTCAAGAAGTAACTCAAGTTTTTGTTCCATATACCCTAGCTAAAAGCCAACAATAAACACCGATTAGATACACACATAATTTCATGTAAAACAAAACTTCAATATTCCTAAAAGGACAAAATCATATACGGATTACAAAGATTTTGATAAGAACATAAGATATATTAAATAAGATAATAATTGCTTTGAGTGAAGGTTAAGAAATTACTGTTCCAGAGAGTTCATCCGAATATTTCTTCACCATTTCATCAACCTCCACACTACCATTCTCCAACAGGAACTGAAGATCATTCCTCATCTAACATTATTATGAAAAAGGGATGAAGAATGAAAATCATTGTGTTGCAATTTTAGGCATAACACAACCATACATTTAAATATCTCCTGCCAGTATTATATATCTTGCATTCATTGTTTTCAGTTTGTTTGCCAAAGCTCATGTATCTCCAAGTAGCTTATAACAGAAGCTTCTATAAGCTGTTAGTTGTTGTTACTGTGTCCCTGTTTGGATAAACAACTTATTTGCAGCTTATAACTTTAGTGTTCATCATGATAAGCCCTTATGTAAAAGTTATTTCTATACAAAAGATAAACTAAAGTAAAAAAAAAACATTTTCGTACGATCTACAAATTATTTTCATGCGCTATCTTGAAGAGCATACGAAAATAAGTTAAAAACAAGTTATGACCAATGAGTTAAGTTGTTTTCTTAAACTATCTCAAACAGTCTCACAAAACTTATGTCAGTGAATAAACTCAAATAAGCTCTAAGTGACAATAGAGTGGTGGTTAGATAGATCCATCTCTACATTTCTTCCACCTTCCTATTATCATAACGATGTAATTGGTCCATCTTTCTTTATCTGCCAATTCAATCTCCAAAAAGTTGCATAACATCTACAACAAACAACATTCACTCATCAATCATTCAAATTGGGTAGTCATCTCAAGATATGACCAAGAGAAAATTTCATGACTTAGTGAACACTTGGTTAACCCTTTTCAAACCAATGACACGAGGAAGTTAAAATGATGATCTCATTCTTTGATTGATCAACCTCTCACACGGGAAGTATGCATTAGACATGCCTAAGGAAACCAAATCAAAAATTGCTACCTAGCCAAGAAAAGGCTTATTCTGATCCAGAGAGATATTTGAGATTTGTTGGAATGCTTATATATCTCACTACTACAATGCAGTGATTCGAATAGTGAGGTACATTTCAAAGGCACGGGAAAAGGACTACACTATGAAGACATAGGAAACACTTGTTGGGTTCTATGATGTAGAAAAAGATTCACCAATTAATAGGTGCACTATTTTAGGATATTCTATTTGTATTAAAGGAAATCTTGTCTTTTGGAAGAACAAAAAGCAAAATATCAGTGCAACGTCTTGAGCAGAAGAAGCTGGCTACAACCGCTTGTGAGCTTATTAGGATTAGGCAACTTCGAGAAATGAAGTTTGGGAATACTCAAGAAATGAAATTATGTTGTGATAATCAGGCAGCTCCAGCTCTGCCTATAGCCTCCCTAATCAAGTATTCTATGAGAGAACTAAATGTTAAAATTGATCGTCATTTTGTCTGAGAGAAAGTTCACTCTAGAGAAGTCATCACCTAATTTGTTAGCTATAACAACCAACTAGCATATACCTGCACAAGATCTCTAATGGGGGCAATAATTAAATTTCTTCAATCCAAGATAGGAGCATTTACCGTGTACGCTCTAACTTGAGGGTGTGTTTGGAATTAATGTCAGTATTGGGAGTTGTATATCAAATACATTCATGTACATAGTTAGTTATGTACCTGTTTGATCAAAGAGTGTATTCATTCAAGTTCCACAAGTGTAATGGATAGAAAAAATAATTGGAGTATTAATATTAAATAGAAAGAATTAGTTTGAGTTTTCTTCACCACAACAAAATGTAGTCTTGTGAGTGTAATGGGGTTGGTTTTGGTAGTTGTGTGTCAATTTGAAACAAAATTCTTTCTTTTATCTATTACAGTAATCACAAAAAATTAGGTTTTCCAAAAAGCATAAAGGAGACAAAAGTATACCTTCATACTGCTTTGGGAATTGACATCGCTATTTTGTGCAAGACCGGGCCTAGCTGAAGACGAAGGTGAGGTTACTTTTTGCTTTTTAGAAGGAATTTGCGGTGAATCATCAGATGTCGTGGTTGCAATATTCAAGGAATGTGTTTTACTTCTTAGCCCAGATTGCAAATGGTACATAGTGAAAACAGGGTCCACCACCTGATTATGTTTACAGTCAGCAACACATCTATATTCCATAAATGTCAAATGTAGCTACCACTTACCATGCTGACAGTTCCAACATTTAGTAACAACCAAACAGGACCAAGATGCATGACATACCTCATCAACTTCTGAGGAAAGAGTAAATGCGCTCTGTCTGAGCAGTGACTTTAATCTATCCTTTTCAAAGTCCGAGAGCCCATCTCCAACACCATTGTTATATAAAGGACCAGAAAGAGTATAACTGTGATTAACAAGGTTCTTTCCACCCTCACCACATTTATTCTGTGGTAGCTCAGATAATTGGGTAGTGACAGGCAAAACATTCTCATCTCGGGACAACAGATTTACTACTTCAGATGAATAATAGCCAAAGAAATCTGGCCCAACTCTTCTAGGGGCATTTGACATGGCAAAATTTGAAATACAACAGACAATAACTGCATTAAACACAAAACAGCATAGATAAATAAAATCTGGTCAATGAAAGGGCTTCAAAAGCACGTCAAAGAGGAAACTAAACTAAATTTGAATAGAGAAAAGAAAAGTTTATATAATCAATTGTTTGTTAGATGGAATATTCACAGAAATTATCATACTCTAGCAAAAATATTTCTATTTTGAATATCAGCCAGCCACCTCACAGTTGGGACAACACCAATTTGGATCAGTAATCACTCATAGACAATCTACTTTTTCTTGGCAACTAAATGATAAATTGACAATAATTTATGAAACAAGGAATATTGTGAAATATTCTATAGTAAAAACACAAAGGCACCTTTAAAGAGAAAATTTACATGCTAAAAAATATAATGACGCCTTAACTATGTGTGGGATATATACATACATACTAAGCCATCAAGAGAGGAGTAGATTTTTTCATACATACGAAGAGGTAAAATTAAACGCGTTGACGCTGTTTCCAGTATGGTTGCAGCATTCACATGTGCAACAGGAAGTGTTGAATGACCCCGTCCTCAAAGAGATAATGACAGAACTGCAGCGTGACCGTACTGCCAGACCAGATTTCAGCTTGAAACAGGGGTTACTGTTTTATCAAGGCGGGTTGGTTATATCCTCTCAATCCATTGTATTCTTTATTTATTGAAGGAGTTTCATTCCTCACTAAATGGTGGTCATTCTGGATTTATGCGCGGTTGTTAGTGGCAGAAAGCCACATGCTCTGATATGTTTTACGCAAGGAAAAACAAGGGTCGAAGCGGTGGCAGCAGAGTATGTGGACAGAGATGAAGCACTCCAACAGTTGAAAAGACATTTATGGCGAGCACATGAACAAATGATGTGTTATTCAGACAAAAACCAAAAAAGATCTGTGCCTTCGAAGTGGGAGAATAGGTATTCATGAAGTTGAGACCTTATCAACAACAAACTTAGGCAAGAAGGATTAATCAAAAGCTATCTCCAAGATGCTTTGGACCCTTTCCAATACTTGAAAAAGTAAAAAGTGGGTGTTGTATCATATGAGCTGAATTTTTTAGATTCAGCTTTGTGTGCATGTTAGTTTTTCATATCTCCCAACTAAAGTGTTCCATTGAGAATTCTTAGAATTTGGGTAAGGCCTAACTCTTCCCTACAAAACCAACTTGTAAGATGAAGATTGTCCTCACTTATAAACACAATACAGGTCATATCACTAAACAATGTGGGACCAAATCCACCCCTCCAAACCCAACACAATGAAGGTGTTGGAGGCTGCAATGAAGGCGAACCACATGCCACAATTAGGGCGACTAAAGACAGACCGCAATGAAGGCTCTGATACCATCTTACAATTTAGGTTAACCTAACGCATCCCTACAAAACCAGCTAGTAAAGTGAGGATTGTCCCCACTTATAAGCACAACACATGTCATATTTATAAGCAATGAGGGACTAAATCCACGCATTCAAACACAACACAATGAAGGAGTTGGAGGCTGCAATTAAGTCTAGTGGGGGTTGCATGACAATGAGAATACAGAAGTCAGGCAAAAACCAATTGTGTGGAGGTTTACACACGTAAAGGAAAGAAAGGTCTAGAGGGGGAGTTAGTGGATAGTGAGTTACTGAATGGCACCCAAAGTCGAAGTATAATGGGGAGTTACAGAATGAGGGAATATAGTGTGAAGTGTTGATATTTGTAAATATATAGTGTTGAGAATATTTGTATATAGAATAGTTTCACATCGATTAGTCTCACATCGACTATATCATATTTTAGTTGTAATCTCTTTATATATAACAGTCTTCGTAGTGCTTTTCAAAATACACAGTTTATTCAAATGTCTCTTAGCCTCTCGTATTTTAATACAGTATCCAGAACCTATTGAGAGATAACCCTTCACCGTGCTTTACCCGGTTGACCCACTGTCTTCCGGTGAGAAATTTTTACCAAACCGTGTCATAACTCCAGTTCAAACAGATCCTTTTACACTTGATTTGCATGATTTTTTTTTTCTGATACTCATGGCTACTCCTCAAAACATTACACCAAACTACGATGATTTCTTCAGGTGGTATCAGAATTCGTTTTCTACTGCTTCGATTTCCTCAGGTGGTATCAGAATTCATCTATTTGTCTCTCTCAATCATCTTCTCTTGGACCTTAGATCCTTGATTCTGGTGCGTCTGAACATGTTACTGGTAATAAAAATCTTTTCTCTTGCCTCTCTATCAAGGATTTCTTACCTACCATAACTTATGTCAATGATTCTCAAACCTGATCTGATGGGATTGATATTGTTCAAATTTTACCTTCTCTCTGTTACTTTTGTTCCTTATGTACCTAATTGTCCATTTAATTTACTTTCAGTCAGTCGATTAACTCGTTCTCTTTGATTGAATTGTCACCTTCACTAACAGTAATGTTACCCTGCAGGATCGGAATTCGGTGGGGACGACTGACGTCCAATGTGAGTCTCAAGGCCTTTATTACCTCAGTGTCATCTCAGACATGCTCAGCTAAAGATTTTTCAACTCACTATCCATGCTCAGTTAGGTCATCACAGTCCTTCTCAAACTACAGAAGTTGGTGTCGAATTTATCGAAGGTATCTAATTTACATTGTGAGTCGTGTCAGTTAGGGTAACACACTCGTAGTCAATTTCTCAACCGAGTCAATAAACGAGCTTCGTCCCCTTTTGCTTTAGTTCCTCTGATGTTTAGGGTCGCTGGCGTACTGTTTCTACTCTTGAGTCTAGGTATTTTGTCACCTTTATTGATGATTTTTCACGTTGCACGTGGTTATTTTTAATGAACAATTTTCTATTTTTGAACAATTTTTATAAAGAAATAAAAACTCAGTTTGGTGTGTTTATTCGTACTTTAAGAAGTGATAATGATCGTGAATACTTATCCCAACAATTTCAAACTTTTAAGTCCAGCAATGGTATTCTCCACCAAACATCTTGCCCTCATACACCTCAACAAAACGGGATACACGAGCACAAAAATCGACATCTCGTTGAAACCACTTGGACCCTACTTCTCCATGGTAATGTTCCACTTTGATTTTAGGGAGATGTTGTGCTAACAGCATGTTACCTTATAAATCACATGCCCTCATTTATCCTTAACAATAAAATCCTTCATTCAATCTTTTTTCCTAATTTCTCACTTCATCCAATTCCTCCCCAAGTCTTCGGGTCCACATGTTCTGTACACAATCTCTCTCCTGGTCTTAATAAACTATCAGCTCGATCACTAAAGTATGTCTTTCTTGGTTATCATCAATCCTAAAAAGGTTATCGTTGTTATTCACATACTCACATATTCTTGTACCATATTTCGAGTCCAGCCAAGTAACTCCGGAATCCATTCAGAAAAGTACTCTCACACCTCTTCTGGAAATCCCATCTTCCATTGTCTCTCATCATTCTAGGGAACCATGGACACTAGATACCCCTATGGTTGACCCCCTACCCCACTTCTCGCCCACTTCAAAAATATCAGTGTCGTACTTGTCCCTGAGTTCATTGCAGACTCTCCTCTAACGCTCTGGCCATCACCGAATTTGATCTTGCAACCCGAGTCCAATCTTTCGATTACCCTTCGAAAAGGTATATGTCAAACACGCAATTCTTCTCCACATTACATTGATTTATGTTATCATCGTCTTCCCCCTTTGTAGTATATTTGTTTGTCTTTTGTTTCTATTCCTAAAACTCCAGGTGAAACATTATCTCACCCTGAGTGGAGGCAAACAATGATTGATGCAATATGTGCTCTTTAAAGCAGTGGTACCCGGGAACTGGTTCCTCTACCCTCTGGGAAATCTTTACTAAGTTGTCGTTGGCTTTATACAATGAAGGTTGGTGCAGATGGTAAGATTGATCGATTTAAAGCTCGCTTGATAGCCAAAGAATACACTCAAATTTTTGGGTTGGATTATAGTGATACCTTCTCGCCTGTAGCCGGCATTGGCCTCTTCATCAACTTGACATCAAAAATATATTTTTACATGGTGATCTTGAAAGAGAAGTATATATAGAGCAATCACTTGGATTTGTTGCTCAGGGAAAACTATTGAATATGGTGTGTAGGCTACACAGGTCTCTTTATAGTCTTATGCAATCTCCGAGAGCTTGGTTTGGCAGATTCTGCACTGTAGTACAACAGTTTGGCATGGTCAGTAGTGAAGTTGATCATTCTGTTTTTTATCGTCACTCAGCCCATTGTGTATGTAGACGATATTGTCATAACTGATAGTGATCAGCAGGGAACACTCTAGTTGAAACATCTTTCGAATCAATTTCAAACAAAAGATCTAGGTAAACTCTATTGTTTCTTGAGTAATGAGATAGCCCAATCTAAAGATGATTTGGTGATTTCTCAGCGGAAATATACTATGGATATTTTGGAAGAAACAGGTTTGTTGAATGCTAAACCAGATGATACTCCTATAGATCCAAGTGTCAAACTACTACCCAATCAAAGAGAACTTTTATCTGACTCGAGAAGATATAGGAGATTGGTTGGAAAGTTGAATTATCTCTGTCACTCGTCTGGACATTTCTTTTGCAGTCAGTGTGATAAATCAGTTCTTAAATTCCCCTTGTCAGGAACACATGGATGTTGTTAACCGAATTCTAAGATACATCAAATGTGCTCCAAAAAAAGATCTAATGTATGAAGATAAAAGACATACTCAGAGAGTTGGATACACCTATGCTGATTGGGCAAGATCACCTATGGGTATTGTGTACTTGTTGGAGAAAACTTTATATCTTGGAAAAATAAGAAACAAAACCTAATTGCAAGATCAAGCGTCGAAGCAGAGTATAGGGTCATGGCAATGGCAACATGTGAACTCATTTGATTAAAACAGTTGCTCAAAGAACTTCAAAATGAAGAAGCAAGACCAACGACACTTTGTCAAAGAGGACCAAACATATTACGATAGACTATCA